TGTGTGCGCGCGCGTGTGTGCTGTGTAGCGTACGGGGTTAGTGCATGCGCCTGTGGTGTACGTGTGTGCATGTGCGCGTACGTACGTGCATGATTGTGCTCCTGCATTTCGCTAGTGCCTTGCCTTGCATGTGGTTGCTGTGTATGCGTCTCATGCACGCACGTACGCATGCGCAGTGCCTCTGCCTTGTGCGCGGACTGCATTTCCTTCACTATGTTCATGCCGGAACGCAGTCGCGCATTGCAGTCTCGTTCTGTCGACCGTCACGTGCCGACAGTTGTCCTGCGTACTTACGTCCCTGCCTGTAAGTGCCGGCTCCAACCGCGTGAAATCGCTGCGTGCTTGATAATCAGGCCAGAATATCAGCGAATATAGATAAAACGGCAATTCAACGTGAAGCCGTAACGTAGCTTGTTTCACAATTAGTTATTCTATCATCGCCGCGGTTATTTTAGATTATTAGCGAAAATAATGTTCGCTCGTCTCTGCTTCGACTAAATCGCTCGCGGCAATTACACGCTGATCTGTTACTGCGCACTACAGCCGCCACGGATCGCGCCGGCCACTGATCTTCAACCGCATGTCCTCTAGCGGGGACACATCTTGGTTCTACCCCGGGCCGTTGCATTGCAATTCATTACGAATACAACTGCTTCTGCTCCCCTTGCTTTCTTTTCTTATATGTAGTCTCTGCCTACTCTTGGTCCACTTGCCGAGCCACCAATTTTCCCCTTTTTCCCTTGATCTCTCCCTCTGCTTCGCCATCTCTCTCTTCTCCACTCATCTCTCGGCTCTCTCTCTTTCTCTCTCTATTCTCTCCACTCTCTCTCTCTGCCTCTCTCTCTCTCTCTCTCCACTCTCTTCTCTCTCGGCTCTCGTTCTCTCTCGCTCTCTCTTCTCTCTCTCTCTCTTTCTCTCTCTCTCTCTCTCTCTTCTCCACTCTCTCTCTCTCTCTTTCTCTGCTTTTCTCTCCACTCTCTCTCTCTCTCTCTCCTCTCTTCATCTCTCTCTCTCTAGCGCTCCACTCTCTCTCTCTACTCTCTCATCTCTCTCGTCTGCTCTGCTCTCTCTCTCGCGTTCGCCTCCTCGCCGCTCTCTCTCTCTCTCTCGTCTCTCTCTCTCTCCACTCTCTCTCTCTCTCCTATCTCTCTCTCTCTCTCTTTCTTTTCTGCCCTATTCTTTCCAGTTTTCGTTCTTTCGTTTCTCTGTCTGTTCTCCTCTCTGTCACCCACTCTCACCGTCATCTCTTAACACGTTTACAGTCGTCCCTATCTCACTGCCCGTCGTCTCTCCACTACTCTTCGTCGGCGCTCTCTTTTCTCTCTCTCTCTCTCGCTCCTCTTCTCTCCACTCTCTCTCTTTCTTTCTCTCTCTCTCTCTCTCTCTATCTCTTTCTCTGTCTTCTCTCCGAGTAACTGTCTTTCCTCATTAGTTGGCTACAACCACGCCACTTTTATCTCCGCTTCGTTCATTTAAAAGAAAACATCGATTTTTTTCGTTTAATATTAGCCCTTGAAGCAATATTACTTGTTGGTTTTTTCTCACCGGGGAAGAAAGTTTTAGTTGCAAGTTCGTAGACATCTATCAACCGGTCCCTTTCACGCGCGTCACCCGCCTTATTGAAACGATTCGATTCTGGCCCGGCAGATGCCACTACTATCGCTGATTGGTAGGAACGTGGGTCTACGACTATCGTCACTGCCGATGTCGTGCGGTGCTTACTGCATTGCACCTGACATCTGTCTTTGCGCATTAGGCGAATCGATTTAGTTCGAAATCTATTATTTAGAACGGGTTGTGTCCGATCGATGTGAGGGACAGAGCCGTGTGTGGTCGGAATTATGCCATAGCTCGCGGCTACCTCGAAGGGATGAAATTGGTCCAGTTATGACTGGACAAGGGTTCACTGTGCACTAGATATATCATTCAACCCCATCGTCATCGTCGTCGTCGGCGTCGTCGCTGTTGTTGCCGTTGCTGCTGTTCATAACGCGCCGATTTCTATATTCCCTATTTTCTTCCTATATTCCCTTTTATATTCCCTATTTACACTTATTGAGTGAGCGCAGTGATACATTCGTGTGAATTGCGTTGCTTTAAGCTCCGATCTCAGCAGATGGTGAGTTGGTAAGTAATTCAAGGTCACTTCTGAATCAACCGCGCCGGCAAATGCGAGCGCTCCTCCGTTCGAATTTACCTAATGACGGAACGATTGATTGCGTAAATGCAGTTGCTTTCTAGACTGACGCCGCTTCAATCGTGCTCGGCGCCCGCGCATGCTCGTCAGGTAGGCTCGGACTGTTAGCGGCCGTCTACAGCGCGCGGTTAATGACGCTGTCAGCCCGCCGTTGTCCCTGGCAACCGTCGCACACCTCCCCGCCGTATAACGACTATACGTGCTGTGTAAACAGAATTTCGTCCGCGTGCGAACGCCTACCGTCTACGACTCGCGCGTTATTACTGCATTGAAATCACATAAATTCGCCGCAGTGCAATAATTCACGGCCAATTAGCAAACATGGCGGATCGGAGATCCGGTGATCGACGCATGCTCATAGCGCGGCTAGAAATTCGCATCTCATCGTAGATTCAATGCTCGTGGCGTCACTCGGGCCGCAAGCACATCAATCCATACAGCCCACGTGACGAGAATCATGAGTGACGTGTGGCACGAAATGAACACACGAGCGCCGCCGCACACGCATGACGTAATTACCATATGCGTGACGTGTGCCGTCACGTGACGCGAGCCCTGAGGTTACAACATCCTACACTGGCGCGAATGCGAGATTTTTCTATTCCCATTGCGAAACCAACGTTATGTATAATCAATGAAGCCCTGCATGTGTTGTCGTTGTGTGTCGCGAGGTGGCAGCACCTCGCAGATGACAATATGGCTGTGAACGTTGGCTTACGCTAGTGTATAAAGGCAATATTCTACCAACACACATACATATCCCCAAACGTACTTACCCCTACCTCCACCACACGCACACGCACACGCGCACTTTTGGTATAACTGTCCCTAAATCTCACACAACCTTCTTCTTACTTTTCCTTATTCAACGCAGCTGCGCAAAACGCAACCGCACGCAGGAAAACGTCATCAATCATAATCATAGTCGTAATCATTATCATTATCATTATCATTATCATTATCATTATCATTATCATTATCATTATCATTATCATTATCATTATCA